GAATGGTAACATATATGTTGAAGATAAGATTCGACAGACAACAGAAAGTGGCAGAGTTAGAAACCTTTATTAGGCTTTAAAATATTGATGAAAAGAGGTAGAAGCTGTGAAATGTCGTAGTTCACAAATCCTTGTGTCAATTAAATTAAATTTGAGTCATCCACGGCATAGTTGGATGAAGTAGTAGTATAAAGTTACATGTTATAGGACACATTTGCAAATGCAGAGTCATATCGGAATGGCCATGTGCCCAAAATTTCTTTAATCTTTGTTCATTTATTCTGAACACAGCCGAATGTAGTGGCATGAAATTTAAATTAATTGAAGCTGATTTTTTGTTGTACTATCCTTCTCATAAGTATACAAAAAATTTCAGAACCAACTTATATAGCTGCATATTTGCTACTATCAGTTTTTTTTTTCTTGGTTTAAACTTCCCTTTACAATCTTTAGTTTTTTTTTTGTTTTTCTTATTGTTCTTTTGAATTCCATAATTTTTTCATGTAGTTTTAAATTTTAATAATGATTGCATAGAGTAAATGTCATAGCCTTGTAGTACTGCTCTATATAATGTTGCCTTAGTGAATGGTAAGGCAGCTTTTCACTATATTATATCACTGCTATTTGCAAATTAGAAAGTTACTAAAACTATTTGTAAGCATTTATGTTGTTGTTATTTTTGGGGTTCCTAAGCCAAGATAGTGTATAGAATAAATTTTTGGCGACCTGCATCCTTTGATTCTCTAAGGAGATCCTCGGTGGAAATGTTGTCTATCAGATGATTTGAACATTTACTGGTTCTTCTAATCTTCTCCAAGAAAACTAATCTCAGTATATGAAAAAAAGAAAAGAAAAAGAGAAGTGGAAGATTAAAGGACACAACTACCTTTTGTTGTCCCTGGACTAGTAGGTTGCAAATTTTGGTTTCAGATTGAGTTGTTTGTTAGGTTTCTAAAGACGAACCACAAAGGTTTCATATTGGGACACTGCAGCTTTGTTTGTTCTTGATGTTTTTGTTGAACTATAAAGGTGTCTGCTGGTTAGTATGTGAGTTGAAGTGGAATTTTCGTAGGTGGTGAATAATTTAGATGCCGTCTATCATTAGAGGGTTCTTTAATTAGATAAGCATGTTTGTGTTGTTTTGTGGTTATGAAATTTTAGTCGTCTGACATTGTGTTGCATAAATGATTTAATTTGGGTTTATATTGCTTATGTCACATGAGTGGCTTTGCTAATTTAGTTTCTGTTGCTACAGGTTGAATTGGAAAAATTGCGTCTTCTTTGTGAACGCATTATCAAAAGAGAAAAATTAAAGGTACCTATCTCTAACTAATGTCTGTATTTTCATTTTAATTTTTAAAATCCGTATCTGTTCTCATTTTGATGGCAACTTATCTAGCTTGACTATTTGTTTGATTGTTCCTATTATTTCTATTTCTGAATTTTTTTTGTACGCAATCAAGCCTGCTTTATAATAGCTTCTGGTCCTTTAACAAGTTACCACCCTTGTTTCTGACCCAATTAAACACATACTTGATTAATTGATGAATGCCAAGGCCTTGCTTGTTATTGCAAGTGAACTAAGTGATTTAAACATACCATGGGGGCACATAATATTCCAGGAATCCATGGATAAATTTTAAGTTGTATATCCATACCATAGCCTGTATGATGACCCATAATGTTGTATGTTTTAGTTAGCTATTCATGAAGAAACATCGTTCGTATTTTGGTTTCATCTTAGTTCCTCCAGCATCTCTCTACTCCTCCTACTTGAACCCTGTGTATCTGCATCTGGTCGTAGTGCGTTTTTATAGTATACAATATATCTTCTTTGCATGGGAATATCGTTATACATTTTATTTTATTTATAAGAAACATGGTATGCTCAGAGATGGAGGTGCATATCCATGCCCGTGACCATAGATGCTTGTAAATATGAATGCAGGCAGCTATAAAGGCCTGCAAGTAGAGATCTAATTTACGTTTTCTTGGTTTCCCCTGATAATAGTTGCAAATTGCATCAGCAAATGCAATCTAACTATTTGGTTGACTAGAAGGAGAGTAGGATGATAACTCTAGACTCCGAATGACAGGGCATTCTCTTGTTAGAACGATCATTTAAACATAATTCACTAATCTATTTGATAATTTGAATTTTGTATTATCTTCACTGATATTACACTACATTTTGCCTATTATATATTATTGCATGTATAACATGGACTTTGGTGACTTGTTCATCGGTAGTTTGCCTGCAATTCCACTTGCAGATTCTTTAGTTGCGTTACCTGAAACTAGTCTACTTGCAGGAAATTAAATGCCTCGATTTGGTATTTGTTACAAATATACTTCTAGGTAACAGTTGTGGGGAACCACAGTCACTTTTTCTTTGGATTATACACAAGGCCCATAAAATATAAAATATTTGCATTTTCCTCATATGCATTTTTAGTAGATAGCCGCTGTAGGTTGCCTCTGGTCCATTGAAGATTTAGTTGCCGAAGTTAATCTTTAGAGTTGTTCTCAAAGTAAACATGTGTTGATTGTCATTATTTTACCATATTATGTGCTGTTTGCTGGTCAGATGCAGTATGGCATATTTTGTAAATGGTTTATTAACTAATCCATTTTTAACAGAAAGAGTTGGTTCTTTGTTCACATGACATACTTGCTTCAAGAAGGGATTGTGTTGCGTATTCAGTGCTTGTAAGGAGTTCCTTTTTCCCAACTGGCACTAGTTCTGAATCTGCTACAACCTCTATAAATAATAGATCCTACAGTGGAACAGTTCAAAGATCAGACGAGATCACTGTGGACAGTACCGTTTCTGGTAAAAACAAAATTAGGTTTTCCTTGAACAATAGGGACTTTGATAGAAACACTGATGACAGCTCTACATCACAACTATCATATAAATGGAAATTAGCCAATAGGGAATCTTTTGCTGGTAAGCAACTTCCACGCAGATCAACATCTATTGCTTCAAGGAGATCAGCAGAAGATGGAGAAAAGAATGCTAAGGCAAGAAAGGTACTAATGTCTGCTTTGATTTACTTTAATTGTTCTGGAATGATGGCAATTTGTGTGATCTTATTTTTGTGATCTACCTACCAGACTGAGACTTTCCAGAAGGAGCTTGTGATGACTTCAGACCAAGCTTCTATGCAGAATCAACGGCTTCCTAAAGGATTCTTTTATGTTCCTGTTGGCTCTCTTTCTAAAGAAAAGCCAATTACCCAGGATTTGGAGTCTTGTGAGCCACGAGAGCTGGGTGGTTAGTTGCAAAAATGCGCCTGTCAGGTGCTTTCTTTCACTAATGGAAACCAGGGTGGCCCAGTGTACAATTTCAAAAGAGAGTGCAGGTTGGTTCGTGTGCTGATGTTGCAAAAACAGAAAGGCTGATGAAGAGAGGGTTCGCCAATGTATTCATATGACAAAGATGCGACCGCGAAGCAAATTTCGATATCAAGTTTGTATATCTATCGAAAAGAAAATGTACAAAGGGCAAGAGGGAGTTTCCATTAACGTATGATTTGGGCTTCAGTGTCTGTTGACTGCCAACCATAGGCTGCCTGCCGTCGGCTCCCGGCTTCATGGGTACACTAGGAACTTGGCTCCTGCCATGCATCTGTATATGTGGGTATAGGATCATTTAGGTTTCAGGTTTAAATTATTTGTACATTCTTGGTATCCTGATATCTGGGCCTTTTTTTTTAAGGACTGGTAGCTATTTTCTTTGCCCAGGTTTCTTGTTAGTGTCATCATTATGATATTGCAGAAAATGGAAAATTACATAGTTGAAAGTTCAGCATTTACGAGTTTTAGGAAATACAGTATCTTGTTGCTTTTAACATGTTGCAGGAATCACTCAGTGGGCAATTGGATGCAAAGGTAGCAATTGTTGATTGTAAATGTCACTTTGGTGTGCTGTATTTCATGAAGCTTAATCTCTACCTTTTACTGAAAGACTAGTTATTTGGTTGGTTTTTAGTTGTTTGGTTCTGTGCTTATATTCTGTTGTCCTTGCAGCTTTCTTTTTATCATTTCTTGAGCATCAATCTGACTCATGCATATGCAAAGCCAGCATGGTTTGACTTCCTCTTCCATAGTTAATTGCAGGTTCGATCAAAGACACTTCCAGTGTCTAGCATCAACTTTCTATTTGTGCCTATGGACTTAATTTTAGTTTTGAATTTGAGGACATGTTTGATCAGATTATTTCTTGATGGGATTAGTTTTTGGAAAGAAAAAAATGAGGGATAAAATGGATGGATTCAAAGCATTTCCCTTTGTGTCCACTGCTCAAGAAGTATGTTGGCTTTTTTCGTTTTTCTTCATCTGGGATATCCATCTATCATTACACCTGATGGAAAAGTTCATTATCCTCGTGTGGAATTACGAGTATTCCATGGTTGGAAGCTGTGTTTACAATATATTTATTTTTTGCTTGTTTATACTAATGATTTTTGTTCTTGCCTTTTTTCTCAGCTTGTTATGTAATGGTGCCTGTGATTCTTAATCTCATCTCACATCTGATGTGCAGGACTAATATGTTTTCTTCACTTGGTATTGTTTAATTCGTCTGCCAATGTCTAGCTGCTGCTGACTGCTCTTGTGGTGTCATTAGAGTCTTATCTTTGAATCTGCTGGGATATTGATTTGGCTTTCATTTATCTTTAGCACATGCATCCTTACAAAAAGTTCTTGATTATGTATATGGCTTATGTATGATTGATTGTTGACCATCTGATGACCTGGTGGTGATGGATGTTCCTGGACAATTGACATTAGCCTGATTCCATCATGAACACTTGGAAGAATTTATAGTGTCAGTATGCGACAGTAAGTTTATTTTCCTTTTCCTTTTTCTTTTAGTTTAAAGACTCACTTTATGATAAGGATAATATTAGCTTTGGACTTGGGAGTTGTACTTGGCAGGAATTTGAGTTGTATTAAACCAACTTAGACGGAAGAATGAGAACTAGTGCAACAAGAAACTAGGCAGCAGAAGACCAGTGTACAAATTGACGATGCATCTGTAGTACTTTGAGCTCCTCCCCTCCGCTTCGCCTGTTCCAAAGGCTGACCGCGTCGGTGCTCCGTCTCACGTGCTTCACGACCGGCCGCGGGGGGTCCAAGTCCGCCAAATCGGTGACCTCCGCCGCCTCGGCACAGGTTCTTCGGCCAACGCTGCTGCTCCTCCTCCAAAAGCTTCTTGCCCACTTGAGCAGCTTGCCATCGTGTAACGTCGCGTCCGCTGCGGGGGTCAAACGCATGGTCTTGCTCCTCTTGATGTGGCCCGTGCAACCCACTCTCGGGGACGACGGCTCACCGGTCGACCAGGACGATGAGGGCAAGGTAGACAATGGAGGTCGTCGGAAGGAGCTGCTCGAGTGATGCCGGCGGTGGCGGCGGGGCTGGATGTCCATCATGGAAGGAAGCTTGTGCTTCAGAGAGGAAGAAGAGATGTGGAAAGGTGGAGAGAATGACTTGCATGCGCGAAGAAGACATGGGTGCCCAATTAAATAAGAATCGAGACGAGGGCGAGTACGCCAAGCTGTGTCGGCCACAGCAATTGGAAACCTCCATGTGGGGCTTAAGGTGCTTACGGATCCACGCGTCGGATGAGACGAAAAGAAGGAGAGAGAGAGAGAGAGAGAGAGAGAGAGAGAGAGATGTCTGTCGTAGGTGGTCGACCAAC